AACAGCTAAACGAGCCACTTCATGAGGCGTGGGAGCGCTTCAAGGACCTCCAGAGACAGTGCCCACATCACAATTTCCCTCCGGCCTTACTTGTGAACAGTTTCTATGACTCCTTCCACCAGAATCTTCAATACATGGTGGATAATGCAGCTGGTGGAGATATCGGGGCGAAGACGGCAGAAGAGATGATAGATATCTTTGAGGCGATGAGTTCTAACTCATCCCAAAAGAGCAGTCGAGGGAAGAGGACTTTTGTAAATGAGGTATCTCTAGGACGGGACATGATGGAACAACAGCTAGCTGAGCTCACAGAACAGATGCGGCTACTGAACGCAAGAGGAGGCCAACCAATGCAGGCCATGGCTGTAGAAGCGTGTGGAGCATGTGGAGCGCAAGGGCACAGGTCGGAGGTGTGCCCATCAGCTTTCGATCAAGATTTTGGTGAACAATATGAAGATGTTAATGCTCTTCAAGGCTACCAGAACCGGCCTGTCAATGACCCATACTCAAACACGTATAACCCGGGGTGGAGAAATCACCCAAATCTCTCGTGGTCTAACAACAACAACGTCCAGCAGCCTCCTCGACAGAACTTCATGCAGCAGCAACCCCGTCCCACTTTCATTCCCCAACAGCAGATGAGGCCGAATTACCCTCAACAACAGCATCAGCAGCAGCAGAGGAGCTCAATGGGAGGAATGCAAGCACAAGGGGCCGGACCCAGTTCAGCAAATCAAGACGACAAGCTGGACAAGATTCTCCAGTTTATGGCAAACAGTGAGCAAAGGGGCGTGAACACGGATGCCTCTATCAAACGCCTGGAAACACAGCTGGGCCAGCTTGCTACAAGAGTTGGGAACATAGAGGCTGACTCAGACAAAGGGAAGCTGCCCAGCCAGCCTAAGGAAGCCAAAGCAATCACAGTTCTGAGAAGTGAGAAAGAGGTAGACAACCATGTGGAAATGCCCGAGCCTGATGACCTTACACAAACCGACCAGCCCAAAAGAGTAGAGGAGAACCCGAAGAAGAATACAGAAGCTGAGCCAAGGAAGCAGACAGACGGCCCAATGTTACACAAGTCACCAAACCCGTTCAAACCAAGCATACCCTTCCCAAGCCGACTCCGGGACGAGAAGCAGAAGCAGCAATTTTAGGACCTATACAACATGCTCTCAAAGGTCAACGTCAACCTACCACTCCTGGACGTGATCAAGAATATGCCCTCGTACGTGAAGTTCTTCAAGGACTTAGTGACGAAGAAGAGGAAATTTGAAGACGGGGAGAAGGTCGTGGTTTACGAGGCTGCAAGTGCTATGCAGCATGACCTTCCGAAGAAAGAAGGAGATCCCGGAGGCTTCGTGATTCACATAGCCCTCGAAAATGGAAAGAAAGCTTCAGGGATGTTGGACCTTGGAGCTGGAGTCAACCTCATGTCGTTTTCTATCTTTCAGCGGCTCGGCCTAAGAGACTTGAGGCCAACACGCATGTGCCTTCAGCTCGCAGACCGTTCTATCAGATACCCCAAAGGGGTAGTGGAAGATGTCCTAGTTCGTGTTGGGAAACTTATTGTCTCGGTGGACTTTGTTGTCCTAGATGTGGGGGACGTACAGGAGAACGGGAAAGACCACACAATCCTTCTGGGTAGACCATTCATGGCCACCACCAACACCCTCATCGATGTGAAGAACGGGACATTGAATATGACAGTCTTGGGCGAGTTCGTTTCTATTTCAGTCCGAGAAGCCACATCTGCATCCTCAGTGAACTTCGTGGAGGAGTGTGCCTTCGTTGATATAACCGACCAGTTTGTAGAAGAGACGACTGTACGTGACTACGAAGAGATGACAATGCCCGACTTTGATGACGAAGAAGAGCCAATCATTGAGCTTTTCGCAGCTGACGAGCCACACGCACCTACTCCACCCGCATTAGAGCTTAAAGAATTACCCCGCCATCTCAAGTACGTCTTCCTAGATGACGAGAAGCAAAAGCCGGTTATCATCTTTGCCGAGCTTAACCGGGACAAGGAGAATGAGCTAATTGAGGTGCTAAAAAAGAATCAGAAAGCCATTGGGTGGAGCCTCGGAGATATAAAAGGCATCAGCCCCTCCACATGCATGCACTGGATCATCTTAGAGGAAGGTGCCAAGCCATTTCGGGATAGCCAGCGGCGGCTCAACCCGAATATGATGGAAGTCGTAAAGAAGGAGGTGGTCAAGCTCTCTTCAGAAGGACTCATTTATCCAGTGGCGGACAGCGAGTGGGTCAGCCCCATACATGTAGTTCCGAAGAAAGGGGGTATCACGGTGATCGAGAACGAGAAGAAAGAGATGGTCCCTACTCGAATCACTACCGGGTGGAGAATGTGCATAGACTATCGGCGCCTCAATGCCGTGACAATAAAAGATCACTTCCCGTTACCCTTCATCGATCAAATTCTTGACCGTCTCTCGGGCCATCAGTTCTACTGCTTCTTAGACGGACTCTCCGGCTACTACCAAGTAGCCATAGCGCCAGAGGACCAACCTAAGACGACCTTCACGTGCCCATTCGACACCTTTGCTTTCAAACGGATGCCATTCAGCCTATGCAATGCACCAGGGACCTTCAAAAGGTGCATGTTCTCCATTTTCTCCGATATGCTTGAGGATTGCCTGCAGGTATTTATGGATGACTTTTCTATTTTTGGTACTTCATTTTTTAATTGTCTCCATAATTTATCTTGTGTGCTTGAAAGATGTATTGAATGTAATTTGACCTTGAGTTGGGAGAAAAGTCATTTTATGGTGACATGTGGAGTTGTGTTAGGCCATGTGGTGTCTAATCGTGGTATTGAGGTTGATAAGGCAAAAATCGACGTAATTGAAAAATTACCCCCTCCTGTGAATGTGAAAGGAGTTAGAAGTTTTCTGGGTCATGCTGGTTTTTATAGAAGGTTCATAAAAGATTTTTCGAAAATTAGCCAGCCTTTATGTCACTTGCTTGCCAATGATGTGCCATACGTTTTTTATGATGCATGTATTGATGCTTTTGATAAATTGAAAAATAAGCTTGTGACTGCACCCATTGTTGTTGCTCCTGATTGGTCGTTGCCTTTTGAGATTATGTGTGATGCTTCGAACCTTGTTGTTGGGGCCATCTTAGGTCAACAAGTCGATAAGTTACTTCGTGTAATTTCTTACGCTAGTTTGACCTTAAACGGTGCCCAATTGAACTACACTACCACTGAAAAAGAGCTTTTGGCAGTAATTTTTTGTCTTGAAAAGTTTAGATCTTACATTTTAGGATCTAAAGTGATTGTCCATTCTGACCATGCTGCATTGAGGTACCTTTTGAGTAAAACTCAATCGAAACCTAGACACATTCGGTAGATTTTATTGTTGCAAGAGTTTGATGTAGAAATTTCTGATAGGAAGGGTTGTGAAAATGTGGTTGCTGATTATCTTTCTCGCATTGTCCCTACTGAGCATTCACTTACTTTGCATGAACGTGTTGACATAAATGATAGCTTCCCATATGAGCATGTGAGTGAAGTAGTTAGTGTCCCTTGGTATGCAGACATTGTAAATTATTTATCAGATGGAGTCCTGTTGTCTAACCTCTCTTCCCAAGAGAGGAAGCGTTTTGTGTTGATGTGCAGAAGTTACTTCTGGGACGACCCACTTCTTTTCAAGATGGGAAAGGATGACATCCTTTGAAGGTGTGTGCCCGAAGAAGAGCAACTGGATGTCCTTGCCTTTTGCCACGAGCTTCATTGTGGAGGACATTTTGGTGGTCGAAAGACCGCCTTTAAGGTTCTCCAATCAGGTTTATTTTGGCCTTCTCTCTTTAGAGACGCTCATAACTTTAGCAAATCTTGTGACCGCTGTCAAAGAATTGGGAATATTAGTTCTAGAAATGAAATGCCTCTGATTAACAATTTGCAAGTTGAAATTTTTGATGTATGGGGCATTGACTTTATGGGACCCTTTCCTAAATCTTGTGGCTTTGAATATATTTTACTTGCCGTAGATTACGTGTCCAAGTGGGTCGAGACTATCCCCACAAGGACGTGTGATGCTAATGTGGTTATCAAGTTTTTGTGAGGTCATATTTTGAGCAGGTTTGGTTTCCCAAGGGCTATTGTGAGTGACGGTGGCAAGCATTTTTGCAACCGGGTATTCGAGAAGCTAATGAAGAAATATGGGATTTCACATAAGGTGGCCACACCATATCATCCATAGACTTCGGGCCAAGCAGAGACGAGCAACAAGCAAATCTAGATCATTCTTGAAAAGACAGTGAACTCGTCCAGGAAGGATTGGTCCAGTCGCCTTGATGATGCATTATGGGCCCAAAGGACAGCATACAAGGGAGTCTTGGGGATGAGCCCATTTTGGCTCGTCTACGGGAAGGCGTGCCACCTTCCGGTCGAGATCGAGCACAAAGCTTTTTGGGTAATTAAGCGAATGAATCTTGATCTTGATGCAGCCGGACATGAGCGGATGTGGCAACTGTCAGAACTTGAGGAGTTGAGGAACGAGGCTTACGAGAACTCCAAAATCTACAAGGACAAGGTCAAAAAGCTTCACGACTCGACCATTGTCCGAAAGTGCTCTTATTCAACTCCCGACTTCGTCTATTCCCGGGAAAGCTTAAGTCTCGGTGGAGCGGACCGTATATCATTGACGAAGTGTTATCATTTGGAACTATCCAACTTCGAAACCCAGCGAATGGTGAGTTGTTTGTAGTGAACGGGCAGAGAGTCAAGCCTTATTTTGAAGGGGAGCTCGGAAAGCATCATGTCGAGACTATCAGTCTTGGCGACCCGTATCCTTGATCCAGAATTGTGCCGAGCTCGAGGCTTAAAACCAAGCATTATTTTGTATAATTGTATATTTTGATTTATTTTATCTCTTTCATATATATATCGAAGAAACCTCTTCGCGCCGCGGGACCACCACGACCCGGACTGCGAGATTAAACGATGCAGCGCGTCGCGCCGCGGAACATCATCCCTCATGGTATAAATACCGCGGCACACTCATTCTCGCTCTCTCACGACGAAACCCTGCTCCTCTCACCAAGTGGCTCCGAGCCCGACCTCTGACCAACGACCACTGGCGCCCCGACAATCTCAATTTCCGGCAATCCCTCTTCGGCGGACGAATCCTCTTACTCCTAACCTGTTCCAACTTCAACTCTCAAGAACCCTAACACTCTAATCCCCGACACCAATCCGACCGTTTCTCTAGCCACCAGCACCTCGCCGGCGTTATTTCAGGCCGCCACCGTCGTCATCTCCGACCCGCAACAGCGACCCACAACACGGCCCGCTTTGCCCGTCGCCCCTCCTTCGAAATTGGACCTCACGGCTTCAACACACACTCAAGCTAATCTTTTGGAGTCCGGTAATTATCCATTCTTTCTACTCTCGTGACGCATTCACATGGTTTGAGTTGGGTGTTGTTGAATTTCGTTGCCAAAATACATATATTCGGGTGCCGACGTTGTTGTCTTCCTTCGAGCCTATAAGCGCAAATTCTCGCCTGCTAAGTGTTTGGTGAATTGTTCGAGAGAACTACAATTCCAATATGGTGAAAACAAGAAATGCGGGTCCTTCCATGAGCAAGGATAAAGGGACGGCCATCACCGTCGCTCCACCCGAGTCATCGAACCACTCGAATTCCGATTCGGAGGACGAGACCACTCCGTTAGCTCGAACCCATGGCATTCCATTTCTGGTTTTTAACGACTCAGAGGTGGCCGCGTACAAGCGACTTGCCGCCCACACTATGCCTAATCCCCGAGCTATCGAGTGGGCGACGATGAAAGCTCTTCATATCGACGAACGAGTTCGGAGTTATTTGAAAGTACTTAACTTGGAGAAGTACGCGACCCGTGATAATTTCACTGCCTTCCGGACACTCACTTTGGAATGTTTTAGCACTATTGAGATGCACGATAACGGCAACTACCTCACTTGTCGCTTAGACGGGAAGGAGGTAAAAATTACGGATAAAGTTCTCTGTGATATTTATGGTTTGAAAACAACGGGTGCTCGCAAGAAACCGGGAGATTTCCAGACTGACAGACATTGGGCCTCCTTTTCACCATGCAAGACTTTCCATAAAATCGGGCCATCAGCGGGGCTAATCAAGGAGCTTCCCATTGCGGTAGTGCATAAGTTCCTCCCCTACCACATTTTCGAAAAAAAAGAGGCTAACAAGGTAAGTGAACAGGAGGTGTTCGTTCTGTGGGCTATGTGTGAAAAGAAACCGATATGCCTTCTCAATTTCCTCAAGCGTCGACATACGCCGAAAAACAGTGAGCTACCCTACCTTAGGTCATGTGGTGACTGATATTGTCAAGTACTTCAAAATTCTGGTAGCTGTTGAGGAGGGCATCGGTCCGATGGGCATCGGCTATATCAAACTTAAGTCTGGGGGTTTTCTGGATAGGCATTTCAAGTTTCAGCCCTATACCGAACGCAAATGCTACAAGGCTTACGTGAAGGAGATGAAGCGAGCAGCAGCTGAAGCAACTTTGTCCACACAAGACACAGGAGGTCCCTCTCAACAGGCGGCCGACGAGATTGCCGACCCAATCGAGCATACTCCAGGAGACGAGGAAGAGCCAGCCCAACTTCAGTCCCATCATGGCATTCCCGACGCCCTATTCGAGCAGGCGCCTAAGTGGTTCGTCGAGCATCAGAAACGGCAAGATGAGTATCAGACTCGACAGGAGGAGTACCTGCGAACCATCCATGCCGAGGTTAGTTCGCACAATGCTCGGTTGGAGGCCTACATCGCGAAAAATGACAAACGTTGGGACCAATGGGAAGAGACGCATGAAACACACGAGGCCCGTTGGGACCATTGGGAACAGAAGCAATATGCCCAATGGAATCAGTGGAATGATTAGTTTCAACAATGGGACACCCGATGGAGCTCGAGTTCCGATCAACCTTCCTTACCTCAACCGCCACCATCGGACGCACAGTGATTTCTCACTGTGCTCTGTACGTCTTCCTTCTCTTTCTCTTTTGTTTAGTATAGCTTATTTCTTTTGAGTCGGTTGGTTGTGTGGTTCAACTCTCCTTCACTGAGGATCGACAATGGGGACATTGTTTGATTTTAAGTGTGGGGGAGTTTTTGCATGTATGTGTGGCTATGTGGTTGACCAGTCTAGCTCTAGGTTTATTTGTCTTTTGAGTCTATATTTGTCTTTTGTTTGGTGGACCAGTCTAGTTTTTAGTTTATTTGCTTTTCGAGTTTGGACATTGGTGAAATTCAAGATTGGTTAATGATTGTTTGATGACGCTGGAAAGATGTGATGATGATCTCGAGTAGCATATTTTGACGTGGCTTGGTTGCTTGGATTAACACTTATACATATATACCTTGTGAGATTTGAGCCATATTTATTCTTGTGAGACATTGGTCGGAGTACTTGTCAATTAGAATTTGCCTTGAGTCTACCTTCAAATAAATTGATTGGATTTGTGAACATGAACATGATTGAGGCATTCCTTGTATATTCTTTCTCTTTTCTTTTTCTGATAATAACATTCACTAGTCACCCTCTTTGAGCCTTATTCGATTTNCCGAATGGATTATATAATATGTCCACAAGGTTCTTATAAAAAAATAGAGAATAAATATGTTTGGGAAGTGTGTTGGTTTTGGAGTTAGTGGGAGGAACTGGTTGGTGTTGATAACCGAAAGAATTCATGATTAGGGTTGTGTGATGAGTTGAGTTGATCTTTATTGAGCCACTTAGCCTAAATTTATCCTACCGGATCCAAAGAACCTACATTACATCCCTTAAAGTCCTCTTGATTCATTTGTTTCATGAATTTGGTTATTTAGAGTAAAAGTTAGACGATAGGCAAATTTACGATTGATTTGTCTGATGACCAATTTGAGTGTACCTGTCTTTTTATTGTGAAAGAACACTGAGCGAGGCACATATATCATATCTCCGTATTCGAGAGTCTGTGTTGTCAGGCGACCGAGTTAAGTCGAGGTGTGTTCTTGGGGTCATCGGAATTCTTTCCAACTTAGTTGATCAATTTGAGACTTTTCTTGTTTTGAAGCCATTGTACTTGTTCGTTTGCGTGTTTTTCTTTCCTTTTCTTTTTTTGTTCGGGACGAACAAAGGTCTTAGTGTGGGGGAGTTGTTTGTCCTATTTTTGTTATATTTTTCTTTGTTTACTTGTTAATTTTTACCCCCGTTTTTAGGAATCTTTTAGTTCTTTTGGTCCATTAGCTGTTCGTTTCGTGTGTTTGCCGTTTATTTCTCGTTTTCGATATTTTCAGCTCTTTGGTCTGTTTTCGTGTGTTTTTCTTTCGTTTTTGGTGGTGTGTAGATTCAGGTTTTTCATCACGTTTGGAGCTAGTCAAATATGTGCGTCCCAGCCTCAAAACAAATCAACCCGAATATCAGTTCGTCAAGTGCCCCACGCCGCGAAGGTGCCACGACCCGAACTGCGAGTTAAGCACCAGCCGCCCCGAGCCGCGACGTCGCCGCGCCGCGATGGATCTACCTGTCGTGCCGTGCCACCGTGATGAAGGATCGTGTGTTACGTCTAGCTCGACTTGCTCGAAACCCGCGCCGACGCCTTGGTCCCTTCCCAATAAGTTGCTAATACACGCGCCGACGCCTTCGTACTTCGCGATAGGTGTGACGAAACTCGGATGTTGGTCCTATTTCTATCACTGTGAAGAAACTCGGATGTTGGTCCTATTCCATTCACGAACTCTATGTAAACTCACAGGAGAAAACACACGAGAACTTTGAACACAATGTTCGACTCTTTTCTATTCACTCATCAACATATTCGAAATTATGAGAGTACATGGGTATTTATAGATCCCCAAAATAATTCTAATCCTAGTTTAAATAGAACTCCTAATCCTAAGGCAACTAAATATCTAGGGAATATGGACAATTAAAAGACTAATAGGAAACTAATAGGCACGTGCCCTTTATTTGGATTCCTAACCAAACTGTGACTCCTAACTAAGCTAAGTAAATCACGTCCATATCCCTTGCTTGTTCGGCAAGTCTTCGCGCGCTCCAAACCCTAGCCGTGTCGCGCGCCGCCTTGCCATGCCTAATCCTCCTCGTGCGCGGTAACGCGCGCGCGCGCCTCCCACGCGTCTCCCTTGTCGCGCGCTGCGTGACCTTGCCCCTCACTCTGCGGGTACCGATCCCTTGCGCGAGTGCCCCGCACTCCCACTCACACGGCCTTACTTCCTTGCTCGTCCATCGCGTTGGTCGCGTCCCAGCCACGTGCGCGTGTGTCGCGCACGACCACTTCATCGCCCTCGTCGACCCACTCGACCAACGCCTCGCGCCTGGCTTCCGTCCACTCGCACCCGTCTATCGGGCCCATCGCCTCGACCCAATCCACTCGCGTGTCCGCTCCATCGCAGCCACGTCCCGTGCACGCTCCATCGCAGCCACGTCCCGTGCACGCTGTCCACCCTACATCCTCCCCTCGTGCCTCATTGGCCTTCGCCCGCATTTGTCGTGCGCGTCGCTCTCTTGCGCACGCCTTGCACCAATCACCCACCTTCCCGGGCACGATCGCCTCACTCTTGTCGTCGGCCCATGCCTCGTGCTCGTGCGCACTATTCGTCGCGCACCTCTTCTTCACCCGGCCTAGGCTCGCACGCCTCGCGGCTCGGTTGCCGCGTCCCGTCGGTACACGCGCCTTAGTGCGTGCGCACACCCTCCTAGCCCGTGCCCGAGCCCTTTCTCGCCTAACCTCTCGCCATCTCTCGAGGCCATCGTGGTTCTCGTCCTCGGGTTCGTCGGGGTCAATGACCACATCCGCATCATTCCCGCCCTCTTCGAGAATTTTCTTGTCCTCAAGGATAAAGTAATTGATCTCGTCAAGTTCCTCGGGCTCTTCTCCTGGGTCCTCGGTTAGTAGCCTAATTCGCTTGTGGGCTCGTCCAAATGTCATAGTGCCCTTCTTGTAGTTGGTCGTGATAGATCCCAATGTCTCGAGCCATTGAACTCCAAGTACTATGTCTAGTCCCGTCAAAGGTAAGGCATAAAGATCAGCCTTTAAGTCAAATCCTTGCGCAAATATGGGAACTCCTTTGTATAGCTCGGAACTCCTTAGTTCATCTCCGTTGGCAACCTTCACTCCAAATTGCTTTATGTTCGTCACTGGCGTCTTTAATCCTTTGGACAGCTCCTTGTCTATGAATTTCAGCGTTGAACCGCTGTCCACTAGCACTTCAAGCTCTTCGCCTTGTACTATTGCAGTGAACCGTATCATCCTTGGACCTCTCTCGGCATCCCTTTTCTTGCTGTTGATCACATGTAACAAGGTCTCCTTTCGCTCCACATGTTCGTACTCCTCACGTTCCGGCTCTTCCTCATCGAACTCCAGCAAGAATACTTGCTTTCCAGCACATCTATGGCCCGGTGTGAACTTCTCATTGCAAGTGAAGCATAAGCCTCTCTCACGCCTTCGCTGGATCTCCTCGGTCGTAAGCCGTCGCATATGGCTCGTGGTTCGCGTGCCATCTTTGGTTGGCTTGGACTCGACCCATGTGGGCGTCTCGTCGGTCGCGGTACTTGTGCGCCGCTGGTCCGTGCGTCCCTCACCCTTGTTGGCCTTGCGCATCGCGACCAAATGGTCGTCGCGTAGCCGTGCTGACTCTATTTCCGCCCGAGTTGTACGCGGCCTATCCAATCGCACCTCAGCCGCTAGCTCGGCCTTAAGTCCTCCAATGAATGCGCCTACCAATGCGCTCTCGGGCCAATCTCGCACCCGACTTGCAATGCGCTCAAACTCTTTTTGGTAGTCTCGGAGGCTACCGTTTTGACGAATCGGAGAGTGCCTCGTCATAGTCGTAGTAGTCACTCGTGCCAAATCGTGTGACCAACTCCTTCTCGAAATCTCTCCACCGAATTTCCTCGCCCTTGGTCTTGTACACATGTGACATCCATTGCCACCATGTGTTCGCTTCACCATCGAGATGATAAGCGGCGATCTTGACTTGCTCGGACTTGTGCACCTTGTTGATCTCGAAAAATTGCATGGCTCGATTTAACCAAGCGTCCGGATCGGACCCCGTAAACGTAGGCATCGTGAGCTTTGGTCGTGCATAGCATCGGTCGTCGTGGTGGTGCATCGCGCGTGATGCGGGGGTCTTCCGTGATCGTCCGTCGTCGTCGTCGTGGTCGGTCCCGGGACTGCTCGATGCCGCGATCGATCGCGAGGTGTGGCTCCTTCGCGGTCGGCGTGTCATGCGCGTGAGTTGCCCGGCTAGATCATGCACCATGAGCTCGAGTTTAGTGAAATTCTCATTGACAAGGTGTTGGCCATTGCCGATGGACTTCACACTCTCCTCCAAGGCTTCGATCCTCTCTTTATGTGTCATCATGACTTGACTTTCTTTTTTTTTTTTGATACTCTCGAAAAAACTTCGAAACAAAAGAAAATAGAATGGGGAAGAAAAAGTTCAACCCAACACACGATCAATCACTCTCAATGAAAGCACCAATGATGAAGGATCGTGTGTTACGTCTAGCTCGACTTGCTCGAAACCGGTGCCGACGCCTTGGTCCCTTCGCAATAAGTTGCTAATACGCGCGCCGACGCCTTCGTACTTCGCGATAGGTGTGACGAAACTCAGATGCTGGTCCTATTTCTATCACTGTGAAGAAACTCGGATGTTGGTCCTATTCCATTCACGAACTCTATGTAAACTCACAGGAGAAAACACACGAGAACTTTGAACACAATGTTCGACTCTTTTCTATTCACTCATCAACATATTCGAAATTATGAGAGTCATGGGTATTTATAGATCCCCAAAATAATTCTAATCCCAGTCTAAATAGAACTCCTAATCCTAAGGCAACTAAATATCTAGGGAATATGGACAATTAAAAGA